CATGACTGCTTTTATAGAATACAAAATCCATCGGTGATCTAAACTAAAATGTGAAAACTTCCATAATCTATCTTCCCTCTGATCTCATCAGAGTTTAGCATCTTTGCCCCAAGAGAGATTAGAAACTTCGATTTTTAATTTTTTTAAAGTGTTCTTTGCATGTCTTTCAGCTTCAGGTATCCACTGTGAATTCTGACTCAGGATCATCCTCCATGCAGGTTAAATCGATTAATTCTGGACCTAAAGGAGCATTTGAGAAATCAGAACATGCTAGAATGAATTTTGATTACAGTCACAGCCCTACCTTTCTGGCTATTTATCCTACCACGGTTAAAATCCATTCAGAGACTGTGATATTCCAACTACCTTTGCAACACCAAGCAGCTTTACTAATAACTAATCTCTTTCCAGGCATCTTTAGGAGATGCCTTCACCTCCTTACAGAGTTGCAATATTTGGTGCAGAAATAATTTGCATCAGCCCACAAACGTGCATACCCAGGATGCAGGCAGACTCATGGAACAGACTCCGGGTAGGTGGGAAAAGCCTCTGCAGCAGATCAGTCATGCCTTTTGCAGCTCAAGTGAAGTTGTTGGAATGGGCCCAACAAGCTGGGAAGTTGGGGCAATTGAGGCAGTTTTCCAAGTGATCACATGAGAGCCAGAGAAAAGGGAAACATTGCATTTTCCTCATAAGAAGTAAGGCTCTTTCCACAGCCAGGCTTAGACAAAGCTGGCGCTGTTCCACAGCATTTCATATCTTTCATTTGCACTGCATATTTTAAGAATCGGATAACAATGTCTTTATAGAAATTAAAGGAAGTTGGATAGACATTACAATTTAAAAAATTTCTGGTAGCTGGTCCAGCTGATGTAACTTCTTTTTATGCTTGGACTAGATCTTTGGAAACCTTGTCACATATCAAATAACACAGACTATAACCTGGTTTATTGAAGGACCACTGGGTACATAAATGTGTATGTGTTGGACCATTTGTGTTGCAATTACAGTCTGTGTTCAGACCACATTCCCTTTGCTCATGCTCTCCAAGCCAAAAATGTCACACAAGAGTTACTGTTGGTCATGGAATCCCAGAGGTTGCTCAAGCAGGGAGTACCTGGCTGTAGGGATGCAATATGACATACAGCAGGTAAGAGAGGGAAATAAGATGAAAAGGAGTGGGGATTAAGGGCATGCTCTAATTTCTGAGGCATTCGATTTTTGCACACACACCAGAGATCACCAGCAACCAAATGACCACAGAGATTAGAATATATTAAACAGTGCTTTCTTATGAAAGTACTGGTTGGCTTTCTAGCAACAGCCAGTGTCTCTTTCTCTCCTACAGAGTCTTCCCTCTCTTGGCACTGGAGAGCTGCCAGCCTGCTCCAGCTAAGTCCACAAGCAGAAGTAGCAGGCAAAAGTTGCTCAGGCAGCAGCTGCTCCATCAAATCCTCAAACTGAGCTCCCACCATACTAGAGCAAATACTAAGAGTTTGCAATGTTGTGGCCAAATCAAGGAGGATGGATCTTCTGTTCTTTCAAGCAATTCCTTCTGCAGAAAACCTTTAAGGAGAGTAGACTGTTCCCCTGGTGCTCTCAAACAGCCATTTGACTTCCACCAACTGGTAGAGATTGGGTAGAAAATAATGCACATGGACCAGATAGATCTGGATGGAACTGTAATGCTGCTTTTGAGGTCTGGAAGGAACAGCACAAAAAGCACGAAACCTCTGTGGTGCTGATACATCCTGTTGACATTGATAGGTGAAAAGCATTCTACCTTCTTATTTTGGGACTCTTAACATCTCCTTTTCCAGCCTCCACTGAGGGGTGAACATGCCCTTGCAGCTGCTTCTGCCCTGTCTAAAAGCCACAATCATAAGAAAACTGCATCTTCTGTCTCTGAGTAAACATGCAGCAAGAATGCTACTGTTTGTATGTCCCATTTATTAGAATCAGGCAGTCTTTACAGCAAATAAACTCCAGCCAGCTGAGATGTGCTAATAAGGATTGCTTTAGGGTTTCTCCTCAGGGAATAGACAAGTCTTGTAATGCTCATAAGGCTGGCTTCTGCTCTCCAGTGGATTGGTACTTCTCAAAGTTTGATGGAAGCAGCTGGAAAGAAGTGACACTGGTTGCCATAACTGCAAGGAAGGGCTTTTTTGCTTATTTTTGTTGTCAAAACCCAGAATTTGTTCCTTGGTTTCTTCAGAAGAAACATCTCTTAAGACCTGGAATTCTTATTTGGAACTTGAAGAATTTGAATGACTTCACCTCTGCCATTGAATAGGGAAAAATACTGAGTCAGTAAAGACTTCTAACTACCTCTTTTCATGATCTTTTTTTCTTAGATAGGAGCTTCACAAAATCTGAGAGGATACTTCCATGCAGCTAAGCCTACAAAAGGCTCAAGGAAACTTGATGATGACAAGACAGTTATTTCATTATCACTGAGGATCTTTCTTTGTTAAACACACATCCTAAAGACTCATGTCCACAGCTCAGTCAAGACAGGCTGAGGAGCATGTGTGAGATATTTAATGCATAGGGCTGAGGCAGTTTTAAAAGAAAAATGCATTAATAAAGCCCTCTGTTTTCCTGCAAGAAATGACTTTTTTTTAAGTTTATTTTTCCCCACTCACTGATGCTTCCAAGCAAAGGGAAAAGGGAGGTGACAGTTGGAAGTTCCCAGTCACCAGTCAGCAGGAGTGTGTTCATATTTTCTAATGTCTGAGTTTTCCTTGAGCCAAAGCTTGAATGATTGGTTACAAGGGTTGGAGATCCCAGGCTGTCTCAGTGCTTCCCAGTGGAAAACTGGTCAAAGCTGGACATTGTTGTATACAATATTGACTGCTCATTTCTACTGCAAACAGCAGCTGCTGGCAATTAAAGCAAGACCTTTGCCCTACTGTTTTGTAAACAACCTGGATGACAAGTCAACATGGAGATGATATGCAGATCTGTCTTTCATTTCCGTCAGACCAGATGCTGATCTGTCTTTGCCTTCTCATTGCAAAACTCAAATCAGGACCTGGATAAGACTTAAATGACTGAGGTTTAAGCTAAACAAGACTCGGTTATCATTTGTGGAGAGAGGGAAGAGCTCTGAGTGTGCAGAAGAATGTGTCTTTCTCAGTACTCAAATTTTATCTTAGGTTTCTAAATAATTCAAAAATTAGGACAATACTTGGACCCTCTCAAGATACTGCAAATTTGGTTGGGTTGACACACAGTTCAGGGGAGTGGAGATTCACTGAAGTAGTTATTAATGAAGTTGTGCCTCTAAAACATCTTTAGAGCAGAATAGTCCCAGTAGATGTGGAAAAGAAATCTGGTTTCCTCCTCAGAAAATGCCTGCACACACTATTTGTGACAACTGAACTCCTTATCACAACAGAGACTGAATCTTCTCTTCCCTCTGAAGTCTCCAAAAATAAGTGCTAGAGCTTCCAGCTTGAAAAAAATCTGCTTTCCCAAAAAGGCACAATAGAGTTCTGATGTTTTTCTTTAAATATTCATGGTGATTAAAACTGAACTTTAATAGTTGCATGAATTCCTTTTAGGGTTGTGATGTTGTTTAATAAAAATAAGTGCCTTAGCAAAAGTGAAGGACATCCTTAAGTTGCTTAGTGATTATTACATGAAATTGAACTCCCTTTTCTAATTTTTTTTTCCATTTCTTAGGCAAGGTGAAATCATTCTTCCAAAGGGGGGGGCTGTGGTTTTTAAAATTAAAATACAGATCTAGTTCTGATTTTCTCACATTTTTGTGTCACTTCTGGAACAACAAATTCTTACCTACAGAATTACAGGATTATGACAAATATTGGTGCTATTTCCTGTCTTATACCAGAACAGAAAAGTAAGGTACATGCAGGTACAATGACTCATGCAATGTCAGCCATGAGTCTGATAAAAAAATTGTGGGCAGAACCTGCCATGGTGAATTCCAGGTCCATGCCCTGCCAATGAGCTCCCATTAACACGGATTTTTGAAAGGAATAATTAACGATTGTAAGGAAAAACGAAGCACTTGTACAGCCTGAGCCAGACTGTATAGCTCTTCATTAATTCCCTCAACCATTCCCTCTCCTACAAAATCAAAACCAAACCCAAATGGCAGACTGGAATGGTGCCAGCTATGATAAGGAAGGCATAGGAGACTGGAGTAGGGAGGGAGGCATTTGAATACTCTATTTTCTTTAGAAGACTCTGGTTCCTTTAAATATCTGTAAATCTCAATATCAGAACCAAAGAAATCTTTTGGGAGGTGTTTCCTTTCTTCGCTTCCAGCAGCTACTGAACCAGTGCCAAATACCAGAGGAGAGAATAAAACCAAAAAAGGGAAAGGACATCATCACTAGCTTTGAAGCAAGCATCTCCTATGCAATCCAATAGTCCCCAAACATTCCATATGCTCCTGTCACACTTTAAAAAATAACAAATATGTCACGACTGTGTATTGTCACATTGGCAGCTGAAGCCTGACAACACACCAGGTCACTTTCTCTGTGTTATCTGTGCTCCTCTGCCAGGGTAGGGTAGCAGCATTCCCAGGCACCTTGCACAATCCAGACATTCTTTGCTTTACTATTGCCATTTCCTGCTAGAGCAGATTATGCCACCTGTGCCTGCACAGACTTTCACTTCAAGGTTTCATAAGCTATATTTTTTTTGTTAAGGCATGAGAAAAATTAGAAAGAAGAGGGGGAAAAAGTGCAAGAATGTAATTCTGGTTCTTGGGCTATTTTATGTATTTTTATTATAATAGAATACATATATAATTTTACCTTTTTGCACTTATTCATGTGTATTTTTTATTTATCTATATATTTTTTTAGCTAACCTGTTTAACGGAGAAAAAAAATCCAGGGTTGGGATGGAAAAAATTATAGTTTTATATATATAAATACACACACGTATAATGCAACATAATTTCAGACCAAATCTACAACTCAAATTTTTCTCTTAAATAGTTTTTCAGGTTGAAATCTTACCTCTGCTCCATCTGTGGGTCACAGTGGCATGAGCACTGTAACAGAACAGAAGCAGCACCAAAGTCTTCCAAAGCATCCTTCCCTTTAAAATATGTATGTCTAGCTGTACAGTAGCTTTTTTATTTTCCCAGCTCCTTTCTTCTCAGGAATAAATAATGGCTTTTCCTCTCCCCCTCCCCCTTTGCAGAAGAACCTGTCTGTTCTTCTGAGTAGAGCTGAAGTCAGCGCGCAGCTCCTCTCCCAAACCAAGTCTCCTCGGGATCAGGAAATTTACTTTCACAGACAGACTTTGTTTTTATCCACATCTGGAATGACTCATAGTGCATGTGAGTTTGCTGGCAGCTGAGTGAATAAATATCATTACAGTTTTGTAGTTGAGTTTCATTTCTTATATGGCCCAGTTGGAATTTATTTTTGTCCAATAAACAGCCACAAGTATCTTCATTAAAAGAGACTCTGGAATTGTAGCTACTTCTCTGTAGCACAGGGGGCTACACACCAACCCCTGTCCAAGCAAATCCTCCTCTGGATGATGGACAGCTGCTCTTGGATGCTTAAGTCAGAGAGTGGGGCATGTGCTCTGCAAGAACATTTCGCTACTGTGATTCATATAATAGAACATACCATGCTGCCTTTAGATTTCAGTTCTAGTCAAGACAAGTCCCGGCCTTTTTTTCCATTTGGCCAGTATGGATGGATAACAGGAAGGTCCAAATCTTAAGTGGCTCTCCTCAATGGAGTTATGAGGATCACTAACCAATACTAACCAGTCCACATTAGCCTGGCTGAATGTGGAGGGGTGAAGCTGAGAAAAATAAAAGGCTACTGATAGACATCTCCTGGCTGATGCTGGTGCCAAGGAATACAACCCTGGAAGAGTCTATCCCAGACTGACTCAGAATGGAGGATATTGCAGGTATCTACTGTCCCTGACAGCTTCGGCAGCAGCCTGATGAGGTGTGCATTTTGGGAATATAGCACCAAAATAGCAGCAGGCTGATGTGTGTTGGAACAAACTGATGAAAAATAGGAAGTATTTGTAAATACAAGGAGTGTTTACAAAACCAAGGAATAGGGGATACTCCATTTGGTGCCTAGAAGTGATGAGTCTAATTCTCTTCTTTTATGGGTGAGAGTAAGCCAGTAACAAACCCACAGACATCTATGGACTTATACTGGTGTGAAACTGGCACATAGAAAAGAGACTCTAGCTCAGAAGGTATAAATAGAAGGATTAAGGGAAAGGATCAAGAGCTGGAATGACAGAGGGCACTGTGGCTCAGGATTAGTGTACACTGGCAGGAAGGCATGGGGAAAAATTGTTCAACTCCTGTGTGCCTGATGCCAACATCTGGCCTTAGCCTCAGTCCCCTCATTCTTCTCTGTCCCAGCTGAAACACCAACTGTAAAGGAAGGAGGAGGGTCAAATAAGGTTGTCTTGCTGAAGGCAGCTCCACTTCTTTTCCTACATGTACAGATTTTCCTATGCTCAGACTGCCCCAGGTTACTCCCACATTAACAGCACATGAACAGCACATTTTACATGCCAAGGAGAAGACAAAAGGTGCAATTCAAGTGGAGGGTGGCTCACCAATTCTCTCTACATATACTCCTGTTACCATAGCATATTAGGGGTGTGTCTGAATGCAGGGTTAAATTTAGCCATGGGCTGACTCCTGTGTCTGTCCAGAAGTACAGAGCTGGAGGAAACTGAGTTCTATCTTCCCTAGAGACGGGGAGAAAGGGAGAGGATTATTCCTGCTTTGCTCAGGTCACTTAGGATAGGATGAGCTGTTCTTAAAGGAGGTAGATTCAGTCACCAGTTCTGAGGTGATGTGCATCAAGAACGATGATCTAAATGTCAGCAGGGTCTGTGAACAAGGTGTTTCAAAGTCAGGTAAACAAGCGAGAAGCATTACTTGGGACACACTTTGCAGGCTTGAGAAATGAAAGAAAATTATGAGAGAACCTAAAATCCTGAGTGATGAAAAGGGAACATCTTTACAGCGCTATTTGGAGAATGTGGATGGAAACTTCTGAGGTGCTGTATCATGTAATTTCTTACATTTAAGGTAATAACAGCTGATAAGAGAGGATTAAGGAGGTCAGACAGGCTCTATCCCTCCCTAAGTCAGAATCAGAATCATATTGAAGAGAGAGCCCTTTGGAATGGCTCTCTCTTCTGGCTGGCAACAATAGGACACTTCCTCTGTTTTTTAATTGTCACTGCTTTATATATGAGCCTAGACAGGTTGAGAAGAGTCCTAGTAACTCCCTTTCATAATTTTCCTACTTCTGGCCTCTGGAGCAAGAATCCTAGGAGCAACCGAGGAGCTGCATCTGAAACAGAAGAGATGTGCGGTAAGACAGACATATAGATCACAGGATATGAGAGTATGAAATTACTGAGCTCTCCTTTTTCAGGCCCTGGAGATGTTGCTCTCAAGTTACATAATATATTTTTAAATTGTTATTTATTTCTCCTTAATCTAAGTCTGGCTACAGAATCCTCTCCAGCAGTCTTCCTCATCTGAGCTCAAATACAATCTCTACCCACATCCCAGTGCAGTCTTCAGGCACTACAGCTTTGAGTGTCACCCTGCACGTACCACAATTGTACAGCAAATTTGCCTGCAAGACTGTGAATGGTGCACTCACATCTGTTTTCTTACAGGAAATTCAGCAGCTGTAAATATAGCAGGTCCACGGAAAATAAAGAATGCTTCCTCTGTAGCAGCTCCTCAAGAAGTGTAAATGTCCCTTTCTCCCCTTAAAACTTTAAAATATTTTTCTGTTTTATATGGATATATATATATATGTACACAGAGAGTCAAATCCTCCCTACTAAAACGTCCTCCAGAGGAGGCCAGGAAATAAATCTTTCAAGCATGCTCAAGGCACTTCAGCTGTATAACTCCTATTCATCTCATGACTATATTTTATTAGATAGTTGCTCAATTTCAGCTCAAGGCAGTTCCTGTCTATGCTGGAGGTTTGAATCACTGCAACTATAATGAATGCTGAAGCAGGGTAGAAATCCTCAGTATTTATAAATATTAACCATGCACACATTGCTTTGGAAGTATATAGCAGGGAAGCTTTAGAGCAAAGAATTCATCCTGAAGACACATCCAGAAGGAGAGGGTGCCATGCTGCTGAAGCCAGGAGGCTGAGGGCTGCTGGCTGGTCAATATTCAGATCTTAAATCAATGTACTGTTAGATTTAAGTGTCACAGTTATGTTAAGGTGAATATTTATGTTTTACCAAGTCTCAAAAATTTAGGTGTTGGAGCTGCAAGTCCTCCAGTGCTCCTCCTCTGAGACCTCTCAGGCCCAGGAAAGGTGTGACTGCTGCCTCTGGCAGGCTTTTGAGGTGAAAATGGACATTTATGCAACTCCAATGACTGGATACCAGCTAGCAACTTCTCCACTTGAGTCCTCCATCCTGATGCCGTCAGTGGCTATCTGTCACTGTTGTTCCCACACAGTCCTTTTGAAGAACCTGGAAATAGGGCAGGGTGGAAAGAAGTGCATGAAGACCCAACAGGGAAGCTGCCAGCTGTCTTTTGCAGCGCAGGAAGGGTGAGAGCAGGGCTTGTAGTGGTACTTCAAAGCTGTCTTTCTTCCCATCACAGATGCTGTCATGGTAGTAGGAAAACTTCAGTCAGCTGGATACTAGAAATCCTGAATTTCCCAGGAGATGCTCTGGAGTGACCAGTGTCTCAAGCAAGGCGTCCCTTGTGTTCTTTTTAGTAGCTCATGGTGTGAAATAACATAATCTAAAAAGTGACTGGAAGGGGAAGCAAGGCAATGGGTGATCAGGAGCCTGTGGGTCTTCCAAGGAAAATAATCTCTATTTCACTGGGGAATACCAGCTCATGATACCAGCTCTGGCTCTGATGAGCTTCTCCCAAACCCAGGGCAGGATTGTAGTCTGCCCTGACATCCCAATCTCTGTGAATGTTCCCTTCTGTCAAACAGACAGATTTTTTTCTTTTCTTAAGATGTACCCTGTTTCAGCAGGAAAACAGAGTGCATATGGAAAGTTCCTCTGAGCAGGAATCTCCGCTTGCAGCCACAGCCCTGCCCTGTGCCATAGGCATTGCAGGATCTTACTGCCAGTGTGCCGCACACTGGAACAGCGTGCGTGACACAGACCCTGACGTCCTGCACACCACAGGGATGGAGAAATTGAGACATGCACACAGTGACTCACTCACTGAATGAACTGATGGTAGGGCTGGGGGCAGACACCAAGAGTAGGTCCATTCCTCTGCCCAAAATATAAGGTGCTGCTCTGGCACTGCGGGAGCTCACACAGCACCACTGCCATCTACCAAAAAGAGAAGTGGCTGCTGCAAGAAGAAAAGAAATACCCTTTTCACAAGGAGAACAAAGAGAGGGGAAAAAATAGCTGTGCACAAGGTCCTAGGAAAAGAAAAGATCTTTTGAAACTAGACTACTGGTGTTTGAGCCCCATAGTCCATAATGACTACTGCTGGCCCCCCAGCTGAGCTTACAGCTTCCTGCAGCATTTGGGTGTCAGAATCTCACCAACCCTCAGAGCAGCCACAGCCAGGATGAACCTTATATGGCCATACAGTGCCATGAGTTGTAAGCTGGAAGGGACTTTAGGGCACCTTTTAGTTGTCCTTGTGCCCCAGAGCTCCCTTGTTGCCTTCATCTAGCTGCCTGAGCTCCCATTCACAGGAGCGCTTAGATGCTGAGCTGATAGTTTACAGATTTAAATATAGTTAGTTTACAGATAGTTTATAGATAGTTTACAGATTTACGTTTAAATAACTGAAATTTAAATTCTGCACATGCAGCTTTGCAGATATCTGAATTCCTTGTGCACCTCAGCTTCCCCCATGAGGCTTCTTAAATTCTAGTATCACTCTACCTATCTTAAAAAAACAGAGCATCTTACATCCTAGTTCATATTTCAAACAAAATGTTGAGACTTGTCTTACTACTCACAAAAACACATGACTGCAAAGGCCCCTCTCAAGTCCCATGTTGCACATTTCAGTTTTTTCCACATATTCAGAAAGCAGATGGGGAACATATTTTACTCTTTGACTTGTGTATTTGACAAGTTGTCTGCTTTATATGGTGTCCTGGGTCAGCCCGTTCTCTGCCTGAGGAGATGTGGATATCACCATAAGAAATACCCTAAGACCCGAATTACAGGATCTTCTGGAATGGAGCTTTTCAGCT